GCTGCTTCTGTAAAGAGTACAGTCTTGGAAATCCTGTGCAGCAGTCTGCTCTGTCCTATGAGGCCACTGTGGGTTGGAGTCAGCTCTTGTGTTTGGCTTTGGTTTAGTGTTTCCATTGTTAAGCTCAACTGCAGATTCTTACAACTTTCACCTGGACTACTGCTGATTAACTGTTCTCAAAATTTCACCCTCTGTAATCAACCCTGTGAAACTGCTATCATTTCAGCTTCCTTAAGTTACTCATATGATCATGTTACCCTTCTGGTTAGGCCTCTTTAATAATCCTCCCTCCACTGAAGAACAGGAGACCTGGTGGCGTAGTAGTTACACATTGAGCTACTAACCTAACCACAAGGCCAGCAGTTTGTAACCACCAGCCGCTCTATGGGAAAAAGATGAGGCTTTCTACTCCTGGGAACAGTGACAGTCTCAGAAACCCACTGGAGCAGCTCTACCCTGTCCTGTAAAGTCGCTATGAGTTAATACTGACTCGGCAAGGAGTTGGTTTTCTTTGGTTTATTGTAAGAACAAAGGGACCACTAATCTGATTCTAATCATTCTTTCATCTCTACCTAGGCCCCCTCCATAAGCCTTATTGACTAGCCACACGGAAGTATATTGCTGTTTCCCTACTTCACCTGTGCTTTCTTACCTTCTTGCCTTTAATCACACTGGTGCCTTTCTATGGCAGTCAAGGCTCCCATCTTTCATTCTCCCTAAAAGACGCGGCCACTTTATGAAGGCATTTCTGATGTCTCCAGTTAAAGTTACTCCCTATCGAACACATTATTTTATATCAGTTACATGGTCTACTGTGCCATTCACCAAATGCTTGGGAAACTCCAGTCTACCTCAAAGGTCTGAAGTTTTATACTTGTAGTTTTGTATCTCAGCATATTTACTCGATACCCAGAAGAAAGGTACTCTCAGAAAGGGTCTTATGAGGTCAGATACATTTTCTATTGTACTTTATTACTTTCTAGGGGAGATTATATGTAATTATTGAATTTGTCATTTTGGCAGTTTGAAGAGGTTTGCTACACATTCTCACAAGTGTTCAGAGACTTATGTTCATGTTTTATCTCACCAACTACTGTACAACATTTTCCTAATATGTTTTTTCTGTTTTAATTAATGGGAACTTTAAACAGAAACTCTCTAACTGATTGGATTGTTATTATATTACAGATGGCCTCTTTAGCGGTATCTAACTGGCCGAAGCCCATGCCATTGATTCCATGTCTATCTTGGTCCACAGCATCAGGGGTCTTCACTACGGTAATTTAATTGCAGCTAATATATAGTCCCTGGAGAAGGATATCCATCATGTTTGGTAAAGTGGAGGGGCAGCAAAAAAGAGGAGGGTCCTCAGGGAGATAGATGGACGCAGTGGCTGCAGCAGTGGGCTCAAGTAACTATATATAATTAGATTTCAAGATCCCCCTAGATCCCCCCAGATTTGCTGATTGCTGGAAGAAATCAGCACATATTCAAACTCATAGCCAACAGAAAGCAAACTTAGTAAAAGCAAAGACAGGGTTAGAGTCCAGAGGAAACCAGGCGCAGATTTCTCAGAGTCTTCTCCCAGGATAGTGTCACAGGACACACTTATTCCTCCCACACTGAGCTGTCACCTGTACAAAGTGTTGTCAACTAGGGTTTTTTCATCAGAGGCTGGTTACTTAGGTACCAGAATTACCTAGAATATTCCTAAATTGTAGGAAAAAAGCAAGATGGTACATTTATACTAAGAAATCATTACCCTCCTCTTATTTTTTATTGGACATGTATGAAACCATTTATCAATCTGGTCCTACATGCCAGCCAAAGGCCAACCTAGGAAACAGGCCCTTCTAAAGATAGGTTATCTCAAGCTCTGTGAACTCTTTTCACGGTTGTTAATAAAAATATCAGGAAAATAGCTTATGATGTGATTTGATCTTATTTTAGCTTATTATTCCAGGGTGTATTGAGTAAATCAATTAATTGGAGGGAGCTGGAAAGGCAGTATTATACACAAACAGTTTATGAAGAAGAAATTATTCACATGCTTGAATATTGTGGTGTAAGTATCTTAAGTTTTGGTATAACATTTGGGGGCATTGTTGATTGTGTAAAAAATTGTTGATTGTGTAAAAAAGTTTAAGCTTTTAAAGAAAATAGTAAAAAAATTAAAACATTTAGATGTGTTATTATTGAATTTTTAAAAATCTTCCTTTAAAAGTAAGCAGATAAAAATAATCATGCAAAGCAGACATGTGACTTAGTTGCTTTATTAACAGATAAGCATCCTACCTAGTTCAAGAAATAGAATTTGACCACCTGCAGAATCCCTTTCCATGTGCTGCAAGCATGCCTAGACCCCACTTCCGTGATTTTTATAGTTATATGTTTTTTGTCTTTTAGATAATTTTGATTAACCATTCATTAACTTTAAAATTTATGGGTAACAAAACTTTTTCTAACTCTCATATATAACATAAAGTTGCCATAGTTACAATTTTAGTGTATAATTCACTGATGTTAGTTACATCCACAAAGTTGTACAACCATCCAAAATAGTGATTTTTAATTGGTCCCAATCCTTGGGAGATCCTATGTGTGTCAGAGTAGACTGTGCTTTATAGGCATTACAATGGCTGGTTTTTGTGTTTTTTCCAAAGTAGATCACTAGGGCTTTCATATAATATTGTTTGATTTTTATATTAAATAGTGTTTTTGTTTTCCATAAATACAGATGGATTCTTTCAAAATGGGACAAGAGTTCATGGGACATTTTCCTAGTGGTGAAGACAAAATAACTAACCTTAAGCTGGTTTCCAGAACTTTAAAGCTAGATTCAACAGACCAAGTTGGGTCCCCAAAATCTGCTGAATGCCTTACATCTAATAAAACACCTATCGGCACCACATCAGAAGGACTCTTATTGCAAGACACTTCTAAGATGGAATGCTTCAATAAAACACCTTCAAGTAGTTATAGGAGTTGCAGTAGTCAGTCATATCACCTAGTTAATAAAGAACCAAAAAGAAGTAATCTACAGAAAGAACCTTTAATATTTATGAAAGGAGTTATGGATGAATGTACTCATGTAGCAAATTTCTCAGGTACTCATTTTATTGAAAATTGAAAATATTTCCACATATATTTGAAAAACTTTAGGGATGCTTTACAAGATAATTTCATGTTTTTAAGGGAGTCTATATGATAGACTCCAGAATGTATTCTCTAAGACAATTAATTGGGTTATTTAACTATATCTTATTTTTAGCGATAAAAATCTAAAACTATTGTATTGGTTTATTTAAAAGCACATTGAAAAAACACATATTAGACTTTGTATCTTATGCCATTCATCTTACTCTATCAGAGATGAAAATTATGGTATATTACAGCTGATATTTTTAACTTAATTAAAAGAATTTGAGGTTGACAAATGTTTCACTGCACTGAATAGTTTTATTTTCTCATAATAATACATAAAATGATAATTAATTTTTTAGAACTTTTATAAGTGTATTTCTTTTTTCTAAAATCCTATATCTAGTTCCAGTTGACCCGAGCCTAATTATAGTGGTTCAAGCCAAAGAAGATGCCTATATTCCACGAACAGGAGTTCGAAGTCTACAAGAAATTTGGCCTGGTTGTGAAATACGATATCTAGAAGGAGGTCATATCAGTGCTTATCTTTTTAAACAAGGACTCTTTAGGTAAGATTATTGGTTTAGATAGGTGTTTATTTGTTGTTTGATTCGTTTTAGGATTTGTTTTTATTTTTCTTACCTAGACTAATAAATATCAGATAGTTTTATTGTATGTCATAATCCTCTAATTTTCTCCCTGCTTCCTTCAAATCTCACATTGTTGTACTATTAAAGGTCATCAGAGCCTGCTTTGGTGCGTCAAGAAGGCATTTTCACTCCACTTTGATAAATAGCGTGAGCATCTGTCAAGTATGCTAGTGATGTTTCTTAGTAAAGCATATTGACCCTTAAGTAAAAATGAAATATTTAAATATTAACAATTTTATGACCTCCGTGTTTTAGTTGGAACTTTTTTAAAAGTTGGAACTTTCAACAAATTTTATGCTATATCTCCAGTTTTCTGATGCATTACTTTATTTCTACCCAGTTTTCATTGATGCATATTTATCATTCATAGTTTTATAAAGTAGGTCATTTAAAGTACTAAAGTAAGTGCTCTCTCTATATAAATCTTTAAAAACTTCCAGCTGGGTAGCTATAAATAGAAGAATTATGAAGTGTTGGTAGCACAGAGGTTAAGCACTTGGATGCTAACCAAAAGGTTGGCAGTTCAAACCCACCCAGAGGCTCCATGGGATAAAAACTTGTCAATCTGCTCCCATACAAATTTTAGTTTAGGAAACCATTTGGGAAAGTTTTTTTCTGTCACTAAGAGTTACTATGAGACAGAATTGACTCAATAACACTCAACAAGTGAGAATGTGGCTAAGAAACATTAGGAAAAGTAGATATTATTAAAGTCAGCTATTCAAAATATAAAGATGCTAATGAGAAAACTTGATGTGATAAGGAAATAAATGTTACCATTGCCATATGCCAGGTACTGAAGTAGTTGTATCAGATCTTGTTATCCCAACTGCACAGAAATATAGGCAAATGAGTAACAAGAGATTAGTATCTTGCTCAGGTCTCCATTACTAAACGATTTCACTTCTCATACTCGCTATCAAGGAGCTTTGCTAGTGCAGTGGTTAAGTATTCCACTGCTGCTAACAGCAAGATTGGCAGTTCAGAGCTACCAGTCCTCTGCTGAAGAGTGACAGCTTCTGTGAAGATTACAGCATGGTTAGCAGCCACGCACTTAACTGCTGTACCCCGTGCTCCTTGGGAGTCCCTGTCAGGCAGTTTCATGCTGCCCTGCAGAGGTGCTATGAGTCAGAATCCACTTGATGGCAATGGTACTCCCCACCCATGATTTCAAAACTGAATGCAGTTTAAGTATATTGGAATACACGTAACCATTATCTCATTATATTTCACATTTATGACAATACTAAAGTATCTACTATTTGACTGTTTTCTGCTTTGATAGTGTACATCTGACAGAAATGTGCTGAGATGAGAGTAACACTGGATGTAATGATGAGGGTTATATGTCAACTTGGCTGGACCATGATTCTCAGTTGCTTGGCAATTATGTAATTATGTGATTTGGCAGTTATACAATGATATAGTCATCACGTATTTTGTGATCTTACATAATCACCCACCATCTTTGCATAATGTCAATTTTCATATAATAACCTGTTATTAGCAGTCAGTGTAGTAGAATTTAAAATAATTCTATCTTTGCACTCAGCAGATGGAAAATTAAAACACACTAGTAATTTGTGTTAAGATACTTAGAGCTGGTTGTTCACTCAGTTGAAAAAGAGATTATTCACATGGCTTAAAGGGCATATATGAACCTTTCCTAACCCTCTTCATACTAAGTATACAAGCTGAAGTTTCAATCATAGGTATCCAGAAAAAGATAACTTCTACTCATTTAACATACAATTGTTTTGTGCTGCTGACTAGGCACAAAATAATAGTAACAGTAGCTTATAGTTACCTGATGCATAACAGAAAGAAATACCATGCGCCTGTTGCTACTACTGTGTCAATTTAACTCGTTGAGGTTTTCCCCTTTTTTTGCCAACCCTTTCCTTTACCAAGCATGATATCCTTTGGGATGGATTCCTCTTCACTTGTTCAAAGTAGGTGAAAGAAGACTCCATTCTTGATTGTAGGAAGGATTCTGACTGGTTTTTCCAAGATGGATTTGTTTGTTTTTCTGGCAATCCATATATTCAATATTCATTTCCAATGTCAGAATCTAAAGACATCAGTTCTTCTTCCATCTTATTTTCTACCTTTTGCATGTATATGAGGCTATTGGAAATATCAGTGGTTGGGTCACATGCATGTTAGTGCTCAAAGTGACATCTTTGGTTTTTAATACTCTAGAAACCAAACCCACTGAGGCAGTTTATAGTTGCCATGAGTTCAAATCAATTCTACTGCACACAGCAACAATAACTATCCGAGTTGTGGGAAAATGAAATGAAGAAAAATGGATCTTTTCAATGGAACTTTTAAAGTCACCATATCTACATATATATTCCCTGAGTGACACTAGTGGTTAATGAGCTTGTATGCTAACCAAAAGCTTGGCAGTTTGGGTCTACCCAGAGGTGCCTCAGAAGTAATGCATAGTGACCTACTTCTAAAAACAAGCTATTGACAAATGCAAAGACTGGATGTAGTGGGAATGGGGAATAACCGCTAAAGGGTGTGATATTTCTAGAATGTTCTAGAATTAGCTAGTAGTAGTGGTTGCACAACTATAAATATTCTAAAAAAAAAACTGAATTGTAAAATTTGAAAGGATGAATTTTATGCTATATGGATTATATCTCAATAAAGCTATTACTGAAAATTAAGCCATGAAAATCATGAGCACTATATATAAGCATATCAACCTCTAAGGCACAAAAAACTGCTTCATGAAAAAAGATGATGCGGACAATGAATGTACAAATGCGCTTTACACAATTGATGTATGTATGGATTGTGATAAGAGTTGTATGAGCCCCTAATAAAATGATTAAAAAAAGAAAAAAGATGATGCTTCTGAATCCATGTTTAGTTGGAAGTACATTTAAGGTAATTGGTAGGAAAATTGTGTGGACCCAGACACCCACCCTTCAGTACTTGCTCATTTTGAAAAGGTCAAATGGCAAGCTACAGGTAATTTGGGAAGTAATTTATAATGACTGCATTGTCTAACCCTCCACCTTTTAAATTATGTTTTTTCTTTCATATTTAATTATAGGCAAGCTATCTATGATGCATTTGAACGGTTTCTTCATAAGTATGCTAACTAATTGGATCACTGTACATTACCAGAGTGCCCATCATCTATCTTGCAAAAAGGAGAGTCAATCGTCTGATAAGAAAAACAAGCAGACAACACTTTGTATCTAGTTATTAACAATGTAATCCAGAATTCAGTGTTGCAGATCCATTGACTTATAAGTGTTAAATACATTTCAATCATATAAAATCAATATTTGGATTAAACAATATTGAAATACTTTGTTATTCTTTGTGAGATCTCATATTTAGTATCTATTGTTACTATTTATGGAACCTTAACATTTTAATTATGAATAATTTATTAGTTTCAATAAATTTATTTGTAGAAACTTACTGGTGTTTAATAGCATTCCTAAGTCAGCAAAATATGTAGTAGTTCAGCCTGAAATACATACTGTAACAAGAAATTTCTGTTAACTGACTTAAGAAAGGTGTTTATTTCTTTTTGGTTCCATAGTGAATTTTCTAGTGCTGTTTTCAACATTAGTTAATATGCTATGGAACTATTTATGATGTACAAAATTAGTATTAAATTTGAATTCTAAAAAATATCAGTTGTTTATAAATACTTTTAATAGTCAAAATGGGTTCTGAAATGCAGAGATGATACTTAAGAATTGACCAGAATTTAAAACTTTGTCAAATATTAAGTTTTAAAAATGCCATACATATTTCCCAGCTTGAAAAGTCTCAGTTCTGGCAAAATGGAAATACAATAGAAAACTTACTGCATTAATTTATGGTACTGTGTCTAATATTTTCTTATGTGCGTACTTTGAGTTTGCTAAACACCTAACCGTATTTTAGACTTAGTACTTCACAACTTTGACTTTAGTTTCAGAATTTAATAACCATATATAAATTTTATCTGTACCATGTGAATATCTTTTTAAAACGAGAGTGGATGGCTATCCTTGGTGCTTTTCTTCTTGTGTTAAGCTTCTCAACTTGAGAGCAACAATATTAAAAACAAAACTGGAAAATATTTCTTGGTGTCTTGTGAAGATTTAGAGTAAACATCTTTGACCTTTTTAAAAATCTCTTTTGTCTATAAATTATTTTAAAATATGTGTTCTCATCCTCAGGATATTTTAATTATAATATTCCTTGTAGCCTTTGTAATGGAAATTTTGTCATACCAACATTTCCATTATGTCTTAAAATTACTTGTTTTCAAATTGTTAAAAATTATTAATGTGAAGTCCTTGATGGCAAATGTATTAACATCTTTAAAGCTACATTGACATAATAAGCCAACAAAGTACAGCTCTTTGAACTATTTCTGCAAAAGTATGTATTCAGACTGTAGCTTTTAAGTTTAACTGAACATATAACAGTCTACTAAGTCCTTCCATAAAATACCTTTGAAAGATAATGTGAAGCTGTCAGATGATTTACAAGTATTTTCCTATATCGTGTGAACTGAGGTAATATGATTGAATGCTTTGCCTAACCAGTGGCTTTAGTAATACCATTTTCACATAAACATTTCTTAGTAAAGAATAATGTACTGCTGTGTTTCTATTATTAAAAGAATTAAATCTTGCCTAGTTGTATTTAACTCAGTCATACCTATTTTTTCACAAATAAATATGAAAGCAGATATTTTAAAACCAGGCGTTTCTAAAATATATACACATAACTGAATTGATTAAATCAGGGTACAAAACACCTTTTCTTAGAGTTTTTCTTTTTTTAATTTACTTCATCCAAAACACTAACTGAAGCTTTAAAAGACATACGTATATAAAAACACACAGACACAAGTCAAAGTGCTGAGTTGCCTGCCATGTTGAGAACTGAGCACATGCCTGCTAGGTAACCACTCAAAAGTAGAGTTACAAACTGCACTCCCACGAGCCAGTCTAACCCTGCTGTGTTTCACTTGGAGTGACTTCTCTAACATGTTGTAATTTGAAAAGCCTTAGGCTGGTAATGGACTCCCCAGTATGCCCCTACCTGCTAGATTTCCTCTTTCTCGATCTCGATTACCCCATTACTTTGTATTTCCTACCGAGCCCCTGAAGACATCTGAGTTGGAGACTCCAGATTTATATCTGTGGTTAGAAAAAGTTTTTGAATTTCATGATTTGTTAATGTTGTAATTACTTTGACATCATTTTACCGTGTGCATTCTAAGTTGTTTTTACATGTAATTTCCTCAATGTGGTGCTTTCACAAAGTATTGAATTGTTAAAACTGTAGCTGTAATTTCTAAAATTATTTACAAATATTTTATACTTTACAATAAAAATGTTTAAACAGTTGGGTTTTCAAGATTTCTTATTCTAAGTATGAAAAATGTGTCACTTTGGGGAGGGAGGGGGGAAAATGAGCAGCCGATATTAAGAGCTCAAATAGAAGGCAAATGTTTTGAGAATGATGATGGCCACAAATGTACATATGTGCTTGACACAATGGATGGATGGATGGCTTGTGCTAAGAATTGTACAAGCCCCCAATAAAATGATTTTTTTTTAAAAGTGTTACTTTTGATTAATGTACCCAATTTTGAACTGAACATGTATGACAAGAACTCAGTTTTCCCTAAATAGTGTGACCCAAGGGAAAACAAACCTTCCAACACACCATAATTATCTAGATGTTGTATAACTCAATATTGGATATGATTGTTTATACTAATGAATGTACGGTAACTAAGTCCAAAGCTGTGAACATAACCTGAGGATTCAGCATGCATGGGGTGGACCTGCATGAAGACTGTTACACAATTCAAGTTTGAAAATATAAACTAAGATTATTTATAGTAGATTATATAAAGCGGAAAAAGGCATATTTGGAGCATGTTACAGGAGTTACATACACCTAATTCTAGGAGATCATATAAGCAGAATCTTAGGCATCAAATTACTATTTGAAGGACTTTTGAAAACAGATTTAACTAGAAAATAGACCAGAAACCTAAAATTTTTTTTAAGACCAAAATCAAAATTGGATCAACTAAGGAAAAATGAAACTTTAAATTCTTATCTGTAAGTGCCTTACTGAGGAAAAACAGCTTTGTTATATAGAGTGCCTGGATAATTTTACAAAGAGATAAAGCAAATTTACTATAACACACGGCTACACAAAGTGTGCTTGGTGGTTCAGCAGCACCCTCTGGGAGTTTATTAGAAATGCAGAAAAGTCTCTGGCCCCATCCCAAACTTCTGAGTCTAAATCTATCTGTGAAAAAGCCTCCAGATGGATCAAATACTTAATAAATTTTGAGACGGACTCCCCTAGAGTCAGTGGTTCTCAAACTGCAGCAGAGTCACCTACAGTCTTATTAAAACAGATGTAGACATCAATCTCCAGTTTCAGATTCTACTAATCTGGAATCCGAAAGTAAAATTCACTGCCATTGAGTTGATTTGTAGCAACCTAAAAGACAGTACAACTGCCCCTTTTGGGTTTCCAGGGCTGTGGGTCTACTGGAGTAGACCGTGGGTTGGAATACTGCTGATCTTGCCCGGGAAATTTGCAATTCTAGCAAGTTTGCTGAGATACTGGTCCTGCCTATCCATGAACAAACAGAACCATCAGTCAAACCTAGCTACACAATAGAATCACCTGGGAAGTAAATTCAGGTCCCACCTCAGAAATTCAGATTCAATTGGCTTGGGGGCGAGGGTGGTGTTGTTGGTGGTGTTTCATTTATTTTAAAGGTCTGTGGCTGTTTCTAAAGGAGCCCTGGTGTAGTGCTTACCAGTTCGGCTGTTAACCACAAGGTCAGTAGTTCAAAACTACCCGTCACTCCATGGAGCCAGGCTTCAGAAACACTATGCTATAAAGACTCAAGGGAAGAGGACTAGCTTTTTAAGAGAAGGTGGTTTAGCCATGAAAAACATTTTAGAAAAGAATTCTGGCCACTCTGGGTTTTATCCCCACCCGATCAAAAACAAATCCACTGCCAAGACAAGGCTCTCTACTTCCTTAAAGATTTACAGTCTCAGGAACATCCATGGGGCCAATTCTATCCTGTCCTTTCCGGTCACTGTGAGTCAGAATCAACTTGAAGGCAGTGAGTTTGGTTTTGGTTGATAGATGTTTCTAATGTGTAGCCATACCATTTGTCGGCCGGTTTGTCATATTGTGGTGGCTTGTGTGTTGGCTGTGATGCTGGAAGTCATGTCACTGCTATGTCAAATACCAGGAGCGTCACTCAAAGTGAACAGGTTTCAGCAGAGCTTCTAGATTAAAAACAGACTGTGAAGAAGGAATAGGTGGGCCACTTCACAGGAATTAGCTACTGAAAACCTTATGGATAGCTCAGAAACATTGTCAGATACTGAAAACCTTGTGAACAGAGGCAGAACATTGTCAGAGATAGTGCCAGAAGACGAACCCCTCAGGTCAGAAGGCACTCAAAATATGACTGAGGAAGAGCTGCCTTCTCAAAGTAGAGTTAACTATAATGACATGGATAGAGTAAAGCTTTTGAAATTAAAGCCCATTCTATGATGCTCACCTTCCCGACACAACCGCTGAAGACAAAGCGGGTGAATAAGCAAATGTGGTGAAGAAAGCTGATGGTGCCGG